TCAAAAATCATTATGGATATTACAAGTTCACAGTTTATGCTGTTTGGATTGACAAATGCCCCCAACAATATTTATGAATTTAATAAATTGTGTGTTTCATCAATAATTGGATAAATTTGTCAAAGTCTTCATTGATGACATTTTGATATACTCCAAGAGTAAAGATCGGCATAAGGAACTTCTTAGAATAACGTTAGAAATATTGTGTAAGGAAAAATTATATTCCAATTTAAAATTGCAAATTTTGGCTTGAGCAAATTGGATTCCTTAGTCATGTAGTTACCTACTCAAAGAGTTGCAGTAGATCCAGCAAAAGTAAAAGCGGTAACAAATTGGAATACACCAACATCGGTGAAGTTCAAAGTTTTTCTGGGATTAATCGAGTGTTATCGATTTATTGAAGGATTCTCTAAAATAGCTTGACCAATGATACAATTGACGAGGAAATAAGTAAAGTTTCAATGGAGAGATAGGTGTGAGCAAAGTTTTCAAGAGTTAAAGCAACAATTGATTACAGCGCCTGTGCTAACCATACCTAGAGGTTCAGAAGGGTTTATTATATATAGTGATATATCCAAACAAGGTATTGGATGTGCATTGATGCAGCATGAAAAAGTAATTGACTATGAGTCAAGACAATTGAAGCAACATGTGTAGAATTACACGACATATGATCTAGAACTTACGACGGTAGTTTATGCATTAAAGATATAGTGCCTTTACTTATATGGAGGGAAGTGTGACATTTACACGGATCATAAGAGTTTCAAATATTTCTTTACACAAAATGAGTTGAATATGAGATAAAGACGATGGTTGGAATTAGTAAATGATTATGATTGTACTATTCATTATCATCCAGGTAAGGGTAATGTTGTTACCAATGCTATAAGTAGAAAGTTGATAGGACAGTTGGCATCATTTCCTACTATTTAAATGTAGTTGATCAAAGACTTGGAAAATTTACGAATTGAACTGGTTACCATGTCTAAGCAACTTACAGCTTGTTTAGCAATTTTGGTGGTTCAACCTACTCTCAGACATCGAATCATAGAAACATGGGGATAAATACCCATTCTTGCAGAAGATTAAGAGCGAGATTGGTACCGATAAAAAAATGGTTTTTGAATGGCTTTGGACCAGGCACCTATGTTTAAAGGAAGAATTTATATGCCTAAGGATGAAATTTTGAGGAAAGAGATATTGGAAGAGGCTCAGTTCATCCCATGCACTGCACATCTTGGTGGTTCGATACATTTTGGTGGAGAAATAAGAAAAGAAGTATAGGCCTATTTTGTGGCAAAATGCATAGTGTGTCAACATGTTAAAGTGGAACATCAAAAACTAGCAGGGTTGTTAAATCCATTGGATATACATAGATGGAAGTGAGAGAATATCACAATGGACTTTATGGTAGGATTACCAAAGTCGGCTACAGGAGATAATGCTATATGTGTAATAGTGGATCGGCTAACAAAGTCAACTATTTTTCTGATAAAAATGACATTCAATCTAATGCACGGTGTTCCCGTCTCCATTGTCTGATAGAGATCCGAAATTTATGTCCAAGTTTTGGAAAAACTTACAAAGATCTATGGGGACAATACTGAATTTTAGCATAGCTTACCACCCTTAATCAAATGGTCAATCCAAAAGAACTATTCAAAAATATTGGAAAATATGTTGTGTGCTTATGTATTAGACCTAGAATGAAATTGGGAATCATACTTGCCTTTGGTAGAATTTGCATATAACAATAGTTTCCAGTCTACCATTAGTATAACACCATACAAAGTACTCTATGGTAGAAAATGTATATCATCGGTTCATTGGGATGAAATTGGTGAAAAGAGAATTTTAGGTCCAGAAATCATCGAGTGAATAGTTCTGGTAGTCGATAATATTAGAACTCACATAAAAGCAGCTCAAAATCGACAAAAGAGTTATACAAACAATCGAAGAAAAGACCTAATTTTGTTGCATGGTTATATGTTGCGTTTCAACATATTTGATATGTGCACTTGCGCGAATTTGATAGCAATCTGATTACTTGTTATAATGTGTTTACGTGCATTGTAAGTTTGGGATGTATTAGCAGTGTGTTTTGGTAATGTGGACTATATATGCCTAAGGATACATTGGTGGTTTGTACCGAGGACGTGGAATGTGACATTTAGATCATGAGTGGAGAGTGATTAAATATTGGAATTTTTATTTGTGAAGACCTTGATCAAGTAGAGTGTAAGAGTAAAACTTTTATCACTTCTGTGAGGTGTAGACTCATTATCCACTTAGGTTGAGAGAAGTGAGGTAGTGATAGATAGGCAAAGAAACATCCAACGTGCAGCTTGTATTCTGTCCAGCTTGAAGATAGCTAGCATATGCAATTTGTTGCCAATTTTTAGCTATGATGTGTAGATTGTTGCCACTTGAGTTACTTTCTATTGATATAAATATCAGGCCTGTTGGATGTTTACAACTCCAAATATAGCCAAAAATATGAGTGTTGCTAACAGGTAAAAAAGTTGTACATGGCAAGTAACAACTTGGATTTTGAAAAGTATGTCTGGCTGTCCTATAATGCGAATTTGACTTATTGGGAAAAAAAAGTTGTAGATACATACATTATCTTTTCAATCTAACTTGAATCAACTTAGTTCGACTTCTGTAACTCAAGTTATAATCATTATACCAAGACAAGTCATCCTTTTGATTATTCAACATATTTTATTCCTTTTGCTCTACATTTGAAATACACCTAATAAGTATTCTTTCTAAAGTATAATATTCATGCCAATATGTATACAAATACATATTTTGATTAATTGCACTTTTAACAATGTATTTATCCAAATTGAATTTATGGCAAGATAATTGAAATTGGTACTAAAAAGAGTGAACATATATAACACGAATGTAAATGCCTTGTAAATGATATATCTTTGACAGCGCTTTTAGACACTAATCAACTTGACTGTGAATCTCATCCTCCTTCAACTTCAGAAGATCATTTGTAAGAACTTTGCAAAGTCAAGAATGGTCAAATAAAAAAGCTTCTTTTGCTGTCACCTCTTGAAATCCAACCTATTGAATTTTTTCGATTCCTTTCCATGAGTAATAGATGCTGGGATCATTGAAAGGTTCATAACGAGAGTAGGCCAATGAGCTACAATAGTGGTTGTGTCAGCAGTGATGATTTCACTTGCCATATTTTATTTTATTTTATTTTTTTTGGAAATACCGAATAGAACTTAAAATGGTTCCACTTGAAATTTAGCATCCTAGATAACTTCTCTATATTGTAACTTTCAGTTTCCAAGATTTTATAAATTATGTGAGAGAACTTTTCACAATAATATTTCTTTGAAATTCAATTCCTCCTTCATCCTTTGAGAAAAAATATGTTTTAAGACTTTAGAAATATATAAAATGGAAATAAGAAATACTACTAGAGTTATATAAATAAAATAAATGAGGGAAACATTTCAACAAATAAAGAAACAATAAAATAGAGAAAATACGGTTATTTATGTAATGGCGGTATTGTAAAGAACCGATGCCTGATTGTACACAGTTTCCTTAAAACAAATTTATTCTTCACTGTGGTGTAAGAGGACTGATGGCGTATATCTTCTAGGATATAACAGTTGAAAGTAATTAACTAGCACCTTATTACTACTTTAAACGAACTGGAAATGCTCACACTTCTATCACCAATCTAGAATTAAAATTATCTAAACTACTAAAAATAATACTCTTGAAAACAAGAGTTAAGAGGGAAATTTGAGAGATGAGAGAGCTCTCAAAGTTGTGTGTGGAATAAGGAGGAGAACACCTTATATAGTACTAGGATGTGAAGGGTTTCAACTTTCAATTTTCCATTAATTTGCATTAACATAAAAATATTACAACAGTCGTTAGGGCTTTGTGACCACCAATTCAATTGAAAAAATTAATTAGAGAATTAAAAAATATTAAATTTGTTGTTACAATTGGCATTCACTTCATTTTTCTCTAATTTTTTTCCAACACTTTTTTCCTTGTTATGTTGCATAATCTTGGAATATTTTGATTCTTTCTTGAGGTGCCAACTCATCAACTGTAGTTCTTACTTCTGGAGAATACCAAAGAAGATCTGAGGGTTCGAAGCATGAAGATCGAATATCAATATACAATAAAAGATTTGAAGGTGTTGCTGTCCGGATAAGAATTCAGATTCAAAGATTATCGCTTCAAGGGTAATTTCATAATCCTATTTGTGAATGATGATTGCTATAATCCAAATCTATAATTTAATAAAGATCCTGGGTTAAGTATTATTCAAAGTATTGTTTTTATTGTCTAATTTCACTTCATTTTCTGACATCAGGGATGAGAAAGTTCTGTTCGAGGTCTTGTTCATTCCATTCTCAACTTCTGGTTGTGCATTTACTATTTATGATTTTTATTTTTTTATTATTATTTTTTAATAGCATTAGGTGCTAAATATTTATTCTCTTCAATTTACAAAACTAAGTTTTACTAGATAATGTGTGCATGTTTAAGTGTCTTTTAAGTAACTAATAAAAAGATCTTTGCCATCATAATTTAACCGAATTATATACAAATATGTAGTCCCTGTTTGGCTCCTATTTCTTAGAACTTATTTTTCTTCGAACTCACTTTCAACCACATGTTTCAGACTAACAACTTTTATCAACTTTTCAATCAAATATTTCATCAAATAAAACGAAAATTTATTAAAAATCTAATATTTAACCGAATCAAACGGGGCTAAATTTGTGATCTTACTGCCAGTACTTCAGGTAATTAAGCAGACAGCATTGTTCAGTGTTTCTGTGAAGTGGGTAATACCGTTGACGATTATTTGAGTCATCAAGTCCTTATACCGTAAAATCTGACCTTTTAAGTTACTCGCAAATTCAATGCTTAAATGATCATATAATTGTCATTGTTTCCAGCTTAATTACCTCTTGCGTATTGTTTATGAACGAGAAACATGAGCTGAAACAGAACAAATTTGGAATTAGGGTCGAAAAGCAAAAAACAAAACGAAGGGTTCAACTTTACAATGCATAACCCAATCCCCCCAGCTAGCAAGGAAAAATTTGTGTCTTCAGTCTGTACTTACAATTACTATCTACTAAAATCTTTACATTGGCATCTGAATATTTCATATCTGAAAGTCATCAGATATCCTATGCTTCTCTTTTTGATTAGTCGTTTTCAACTCCTTGAGACTTTTTTAGCTTTGCCACGAGAACCCACATGTTTGCGAGTTCATTCTCTAGGTAGGCTTCTCTTTGTTTAGATTCTTCAACTTTCCTATGTAAATCAGCTTCTCTTTGATCCTTTTCAGCTAGAGCAGCTTCGTATGAAAGCTCTTTTTCACGGCTCAGGGCCATTTCTCTCTTCATATCTGAGGCCAACAGACTTTGCTCATGTCGTTTCACATGACTATCTCTCCTGCCATTCCTGTTGGAAATAGTGTTACGGCGCTGTGTCGGAGAATTTTTTTGCACTTCCAGCTCACCAGCTAATTTTTCATTGTGTTTCATCAGTTTTGCAACTTCCTCAGACAGAGCCTTTAACTCAACAGCAGCAGCAGATGCTAATCCCTTCGCATATGAACTCTCCTCTGCCAGTTTATTGTTGCGTAGCTCTAATTCCTCTTTCGATTCAGTTAATAAAGTGATTCTCCTTTTTAGTTCTTCAATTTCATTCGCCTAATGGAGGTAAAAGCACGGGATTAGTTACACGGCCTCTTGAGTTGATTTATATCAGGTAATCTTCATTGTGCAGAAAAATTCCCATACACATGCATGTATCCACAATAAATAAACGAAAGACTCCTAATTCAGCAACCAATGCCTGATCTGACTTGAATCTATATATACTTGGAGTTCATATTCTAGAAACTCTTCTATTCATAAATTGTTGTGATAAGGCATTCAATAAATTGATGCATTAGTTGCACTCGTAACATCTAATATTATGAGATTTCATTCACAATTTGTTTAATGCCATTACTTAATTTATTTCAAATTTCAAAAATTTCAAAAGCAAAATTGTTCTACTAAAATAACTTGTCACAATCAGCAGATCAATGGTTGGACACAAATAGTTACATTATAAGCAAGTCATAACAAGGAAAAGAAGATGAAAGACGTCGTCTTTCATTCTTCATTTGGTTAAATCAAAATGAACAGTTCACTATCTGGAAGCAAAGCATAAGTCAGGCTGGTTTGCACAGGATTCAGAGGTCAGATGTGGTAGTCAATGAACAATGACTCATAGCCCCAATTGAGTTCAAAGAAACAAACACTAAGGTCATCAAAAACCTTGAGCAGCCGGGCTGACTATATGAAATAAAAGGATATTGTTTAATCAAATCCCCTTAATACTATTTCCCTTCTTGTAGTATAGATCTGCTCCTATCCCATTTGCTTATCTCATAGTTTAGTTTTTTATAATTCTCCTTCCAAGTACAAATTTAGGCATGTTCATATGCCGACCATTTTCTGTGCAAGTTTTGCAATTTCATCATTTCATAGGAAATATTAATTTCAGACAGAGGAAAAGATGTGAATTAGAACCTGAGCTTGTAGAAGCAATGTTCCATTTCCATCTTTCAGGACAGCATTTTTTTTGCCCGTATGAAGTTCTACCTGCAAACCTTTGGTTTCCAAAAAGCGTTGTGAATGACTACTCAATGGGCTGCAGTTTTTCGGCTCTAAAGTATCAGAGAGCTGTTGTCTCAAGGTGGTAATTGTTTCCTGATACTCCTTACATTCCATGATCTAGCAAGAAAAAGTTATTTGTAACATCTCTAACCAGTATCATGAGAACAAAATCAATTCTTAATTAAATAATTGGTCGAAATGAGTACCTACCTTTTGGTTAAGTTGCTCTTGGATTATTCGATTATCTGCAGCTTTGACCTGGAAACAACAAAAGGCATATTGAATGTTCAGAAAAGATTTTGTAAAAGTTTCACACTATTTTCAGCTATTCTTCATTATATTTTCATTCAAATCTTAGTAAATTCAGGTTCAAGTTGCTTATGACCAAAACTAGGCAGGAAAGACTGATAGAGAAAAAACAATTTTCAATTTCAATTTTCAATCTCTAACCACGTTTTTAACACTAAATGACAACTCCGTTTTAAATTTCAGTTAGCATTGCAGCAACAGAAGATTTTTAGCGCGGAAGTGTATGAAGGATGGCTCGTTCATACCCTATGAAGGCTTAAGATATAAATCTAAACCGAAATTGATTCAACACATGGTAATATCTCAATAAATACAAAAATAGAATAGGAAACCAATTCTATGGATAAAGGTGCAAGTTTCATTACCTCAAGTTCAAATGATTTCTCATTTAACTGTTCCATCAGTTCAGACACAGACTGCAACATTAAACAGCAATTACAACTGGAAGATGAATTTAAGCATGTAACTTAAAAAAATAAAAAATAATAAAAAAATAAAAAATAAAAAAAAAATCCCCAGAATTACTTGTGATTCTTGGAAGTTGTCCTTTTTATCATGAGTAGAAACAATGCAATCTCCAATTTGCTTGCCCAGTGAAGCTATTTGTTCATTCTTTCTGCGGATTTCTTCATTCAATTTGCTCATCTCCGCCTTAAATAAGAAATAAAGAAAGATAAAATTTAGGATATAACAGTAGAACTTTGAAATAAAGATGATCATGAAGAAATTTACCTGGGGATGCTCTTTCCTAGGATTTTGTGCAGCCTCCTCGGATAAACGTTTTAGAGCACTCGTGTGAAGCGCCACTTCACCAGACAAGATCTTTTGTTGTTCTCTCAGAAGGTCAATTTGATCCATAGTCTTCATGCTGGTCTAATAAACATTACATAACACAAGATAACTATATGGTCAATGAAAAAGTGAAATATTCAGAGTCCTTACTGCAATCCCATGCACCAAAATGCACATGAATTTCTGAAGCAAGCAATAGCTTTTACAACAACAGTTAAGGCGTGATGGATGACCCCTTATGAGAACCCAAACATTTTAAGGCTTTAATCATGTTAATCAAAACTTAACAAGAACAATTATGAAACGTGCAACGACATGAGTGATTTGACTTCATTGCATCATATCCAAAACAAATGACGCAAATTTACAAATACAAGACAAAAAACATCACATTATCTCATACCAGTGGAGACTCTTGTCCCAAAAAGTCATCATCAGGGAGGACGTCTTCATTCTCTCTGGCATCAGATAAATGGACATCAGAAGGAGCAGTTTCTATGAGTAAAGAATGTTGATGTCTTGCTTCCATATGAATATTAATACTTTCAGCTTGAGGCGTTGAAGGTATACTTGTTGACTTCATTCCGCTTGATTTGTCACTGGAGCTTGCAAAGGTCCCAGTACCACTATCTCGTTTCTGTAATACAAGGACACTCAAGAAGATCAGATACTGAAAGCACCATACTTTGACGAAATGTTAGACTAAGATTGACATATTTTTCCATGTAAACTCTTAGCTTTGGTAACTAGTCCCTAAATGCCATTAATAATTTTCACCAAGTAACATATTCCAGTTATTTAGGCATCAAAGAAAGATTTTTTATCCAAAAAAATCTTTACTACCTGCTGAACTTACAATTTTTAATAAATATAAATTCCTCCCAAATTCAAAACAGCTTAAGGTCTGAGATCAGACATTTTTTCATCAATAAATAAATTCCTCCCTCCCAGAACAATTAACTTTTAGATGAGGTGGTAACACTCATTTATCTACAATTGTCTCTCCCATACTGGATTCATATTTTAACCAGAGGCCTCACATGCGAAAATTTTCATAAATGAGTGGCAGTGAAATTAGAAATCAGAACAATTTTGTACACTGATACCATGTCTTGCAGAACCATCTTGTCCAAAAGCCAAAGCTTGAGTATGTAGATAGTGGAGAAATTAATTTATATTTATATCTTCAACATTATCTTCAAAGGAAAACACAAAACCACAAAAAGAACTAATCAACACTTGAAAAGATGCCTAGAACTAGTTTCTGATTATTTATAAGCTGGAGTATAGCCTTTTCCAGTAAGTGAGACGAAGCCATACCCTTAACTTCAACCACTTGAGCAATCCATTCTTCTTGGGACGTTTCTCTTCTTTTAATGTGTCATCAGTATTTTCAGCACTGCCATCAAGAGAATCATTCAAGTCGTTTTCATCATCCAAGATCAGATCTCGCCTTCGATGTGGAAGATAAGCGAGCTGCAAGACACAGTACAGTCACATCAAACCAAAGTAATAAAATTGTTGTATGAGTTGGCCATTACATGATGTGCCATTATAAACCCTTACAGTGTATGCTAAATGAGTCGCTCCATTTCCATCCCAAATGAGAAGGGAAGAAAGGGAAAGGAGGGGGAGAAGACAAATTAGCAAGAAAACACATAAAAAATTTATGGCTTAATCAGTGCACCTCTTCTTCTCCGAAGGAATGCCTTCTCCTTGGTCCTGGGCGGTGAGGAATTCTTGATGATGGTGAAGCTTTTGTTGATACAAGAATCAATTTTGTAAGCCGCTGTATTCTGCCCATTAAAGCGGCTTTAGCTTCTTCCTCTTGTTCCAATCTAGATTGCAATCTGACTTGACCATCTTCTAGCTTCACAAATCAGGCCACCACAAGCATTGCATCAAGTGAGTAACAATCACTATGAGTGTCAGGAATAAATTGTAGCACAGAGGACCTAACATATCAGTAGATACTCCAAAAGAAGAAAACAAATAGCCATAAGATCGAAAGTTCAATAATTTAACCACCAGAAGTTACAAATTGTACCCAAATGCTCCTAGTGGTAACTTGGTGCAACATAAAAAACTAATGGAGAGCATGGACAATGATTAATTCATGATCACAATGTCCATAGAAGGTAAGGAGTCAGAAAGTAGAACTGATTTTAAGAAAGGAACTCTTATCTTCTTGGTTGTAATGTACCGTCTTCAATCATAGGGTGAGTAAGACTGAATCCAGACATGAATCTTATATAGTTTCATCCTCTTCCAATTTTACTTTAATAGAATAGGCATTAGTCACCGACAAAGCTAACAATCTTATCACTAAACCACAGCTTTGATTCGAAAGCGCTATTATATAATGCTTTTACAAGATCCTTGTTTGATTTTTATTTTTTCAAAATCACTTTTCCTCAAACTCATTTTCATCCACACGTTCTTCCAATAAAATAATTTTGCACGTGAACTCATGACTTTACTAGTTTTTAACCACACATTCACCAAATATAATTCACTTTTCACGAAATCACTTCTCAAAAAATCAAAATCAAACAAGGGCTTAGGATTCTTAGAATCTTTACAAACAAAGAAATTACAGAGAGAAAAGAAAAGGAATACAGTTTTCAAGGGTGATCTTCCAAATCCTCATTAATTGCCAAAGGGGATTGAACCCTTGTAAGTGACAAAACTTGGCAAGTAATGCAGCATAAAATGTCATGAAGCTTTATTTTTTTTAAATAAAGCCAAAATATTGCAAATTAAATCAGAACTCAGACTTCAAGGAAAACCTATTGAAGACATCTTCTCCAGGAATACCTTCTGTTTTAGGAGCAAAATATCATCTCCTCCGGTATCTTTTGCTTGTGGAACTGTGACTATGCCTCTTCTCAGTTTTTCTAGTTCTTCCTTCAAACAACGAATTTCAGTTTGGTATTTTTTGATAAGTGACTTCTCATCGATTATCTGCACAATCAGAAGCTTATTAAAGAATTGTCAACAAATGGCATTTTGTACTATGGATATCTCTAGAGATCATACCTTATTTTGTGATGCTTGAATTTCAATATGCTTTGCACGGTGTGCAAACTTCAATGTGTTGTGTGTTTCTTCTGAATTGCTTGAAGAGGGGGTAACAGTGCAGATTAGCTGGTTTTATAAAACAATATATTAACAGATTATACCTCTAATTTTACAAGTCATAAAGAACGTTTTGACAACCCATAATACAAACATTTGGATGTATTCAATTTCATTAAGTTGACAATACGTTATATATATAGAATTGAATGTTTGTGGATGAGTCTATGATGCTTGCATTTTTATAGATACAGTACACTTGCATGCACATGAACACATATGCTCACACCCACAAACACAACACGTGTGCACATGGTAAACTCATACAGATACGCGTCCTTGACCACTTAGTGAAGATTGAAGAAGCCTTGTCAATTTAGAGTCCCTATATGGTACGTGTGCAGATCTCCCATCTGTTAATTTTGAAATGACCTGTTAAACAAGCACACGACGTTTTCATTAGAAAGTTTAACGTGGTTACCAAAAATATAAGGAGATTAAGGCATCAATTGGTATTGCCAAGGATGGATGCTCAATATCAGAAAAGCAAATCAATAATCACGCAATGGATGGTTTTCCAGCAACCTCGATTACTATCCAGAACTCAAGATAAACCCAAGAATTGAGCAAAGAAGCTTTTACATTATATTGATAACGGCAGTACCTTATACAGAGTGCAATCAGAGCACATATAGATGAACCGAAGGTAATATTCAGGGAAAAACCAGGGCTGATGTATAAGGAATAAAAGATCACATTCCTAATGAAATTCAATTGCATTACTCACAAAATGATAAAGGGAATAAACAGATTTAACCCCAAACAAATAACAGCAGGTTCACTTATAGCTAAAAATGAGGTTCTTTTAGAAACCAACATATTTTACCAGAACGATACCTCGGTAAAATAAATTCAATAACTTTGCATTTTACAATTATTGGACTGTATCAACTTTAAAACTACTTGTAGACATAATCAATCCTCCAGTGAAGATTTAATATAATCTTCTAATGTTTGTTCAACTCTCGTATTTAGGGTTTGAAAAATATTTATTTAGCTCTTCAAGGTTCTTGATTATTAAGTTTGGAATTTGGCATGCTTCAAATCATTAGTACTGTTTTATTTAATCACCCACAAATTTCAGAGCCCTCTTCAATACTTTATTAGAATACAGAATCTGAGATCTCAATCAAGAAACTAAATGCATTACATCATGTCATTGCTCACAGCTACAGCAAAACTGTATTTATCTATTGGGTGACCTAGGGTGAGAAAAACTTGGTCCAAGAGCATCTTATAGAAATCCTTCTCTAATTCCCTTAACTAGTCAAAATATTTTCATATAATTAGTAGATTTAAAGAATGATCTGTATCGAGTGACATGGAAAATGCAACTTTAATAATAGATAATTTCTTGGTTTTCAACAGAATCATATGCATTTCAAATGACAATGAACCGGAAATAGGACGGTTTTCAAGATTGTATCAATGTTGCTTTGTGGTCTATTCTAACTAAAAAAGAGATCATTTATTGAGTAAAACTATTACACAGGTAATACAGTCACAATGACAGAGTTCTCACAGTTCCAAGAGTTAGCAAGCTTTTATTGATATAGGATCCCTCTTTCCGGCGCACACCTGTTGTTTCGGCCTTTGAGCTCTCAGAACCTGCCAAGTCAATGAGGTTCTGCAAGCATGAATTTAAAACACAAGTCAACAATTACTTAACCAATCACTTTTGCTACAACAAAGAGTGAAATGTGCCCAAATTGAGAATTGTCAGTCATGATGAAGCAAAGAGAGACTTGAAAGATCTCAAAATTAACAACTAAAAAGGAATTCAATTGAAAAGATTTTAGTGATTGGCCGATGAAAGCAGAATATGTATGAACTTGAAAATATACCAGCTGGGACAAGGTAACAGCCTCGCCTTCACAATTTTCACCATAAGGGCTACTCTCTATTGTCTGTAAAAAGAGTAATAAAGTGAAATTATCAACATATTGAAGGAAAAGTGCGGAAACAAGCCTTCAAAAAAAAGGCAATTCAGGTTAACTTCAACTCAAAAAAATAAGATGCTACCTACCAGCGTGAATATTGTATGACTCCTGCTGCTGAGTAAGTTGAAGTTTGTTGAACCAACATGCCTGTGCTCTGTGGTTGTCAATTAGATTTACCAAAAATTAAGAGAGGCAAAAACAGATAGTAATAATATTGTTCAAAGATTAAAAGGATTTCATCACTAATCTAACATTAGCAATCACAAGAAAGTAAGTCATCAGAGCCATATTAGCAGTAACAAAGTAACTGTAGCAGTTATTGAGTAACATGGTAATGTGGTTGCAGCAGCACTAGCAACAAGGATTTTATTCTAGCAGCGAATCCACTCATTAGGGTTGCCTATATCTTAACGAGCAAGTAATTGGTCCCAACAAGGATCACGAAAATGGTACTTAAACATGTGCATTTAGTAGCATGTATATTATTACAATCTATCTGCGGAAAGTTCTTCAATTATTTACACATAAAATGATATTAACCTTGTTTTCAAAAGAACAACATTCTTACATAAAAATAAATGCACATTGCGTGCCTCTTCACCTGATAAAGGAATATGCATCTAAACAAAAAACTAAGACGGTGATGAAGCATAGTACCTTCTCCTGCTGCAATCAGGGAGAGGGCATGAGCTGGGGACAATACAACTTCGTCCTTTATTCCTTCGACAAAGGTTCCCTGCAGCAGATCATATCTCAGGTGCAATGATTGTTAAGATAATTTAGCACAGAATTCCTAGAATTACTATTATTCTCAATCCAAGTAGACCCAGTGTAGCTGTCATAGCTTACTTTCACGAAAAATTATAAACCTTTTTGATGTGGACATCATCCCATCCCCATTTTATCTTTCATTTATTTTGGTCTTATGTATTTTAGCTACTTATTTTGGACTTATGTCTCATTGGGCTTGTATATGGGTTTGGCCCAAGCCCAAGTTATTATTTTGTTATTTATGTTATTGTAATTGAGATTGAAAGGTAGATGATGAATGAATGAATTGTTGCCTTCCACTCCTCTGTCTTCTCTCTTCCCCCCTCTTTCTTCTCTCACGTTTTTTTTTTCCCTTCTCTTTCTCCTTTCTTCCTCTTGTTCTTGCTTTGATTTTGATATTCACTTATTTTCATTGATTCTACATCAAATTTTGGTATCGGAGCTAAACTTGGGAAGTATTTTAAATATCTCATCTACTACCAAAAATTTCTCCTACCTACAATTCATAGAACACCAACCATAACCAGTATCATCCTATTTAAAAAAATGAAAACTTCAAACCAGTTGCTGCAGAACCCAGCAGCCACCTCCGCCTCCTCTGCGCCCGTTCCTATCCACCACCAATTCCCCTGAAACACTCAATACGCAAATCCCCAGCCACAACCGTAATCTTCTGCCTGTAATTGTCGGCGTTCAACCCACCACCAACTATAACTTCCCAACTAAGTATTTCCAACAACTACTCACAAAATAACCGTCCACAATCACCCACCACAAACAGACCCATAATCCACTTCATTCTCCGACAATCTCACAGCCCATATACACGAAACCACCCAATAGAAGGTCCCATATTCGGCAACCATTATAATTCCATGAGCACCCCTAAATACCTCCAGTAGCCAGACATTCACGTAATCGCACCATCACCTGCAATTACCCTTCCCGAAGAGCGCCATCGTCGACAACCATTGCTTCACATAATTCACTACCCACATCTCGCCAACCACATACACCGCCATCAATAGTAATCGATCCAAGCCATCACGACTTCAGTTACCACTCACGACACCCAAGGCACCAACCGCCACAACTCTAGTCACTTGCACTTACCGAAGTTAGCCACCCAGCAGTCGACCTGCTCCTTCGCCTCCAGTCGACCCTTGATTGGCTATATTGGACCTTCAATTTGTGTATACTGGGATTGGGCCTCAGCTGTTTATGTATATAGCGGACTCTGATTGTAGTTTGGGCCTCAATTGGTGTCCTGTTTGTTTGGGTCTCAAGTTGTAACCGGTTTGCTTATCTGATTTTGTAAGTAAAAAAAAATAAAAAAATTTAACATCATTTTCAGGTATCCCTTTCATTTCAGTTGGTTGGACACGGCTTCTTCAAACGAACGAAAAGGAAGTCATTGTTTTTATTTATCCTCAGTTTATATTGTTGTTTATCTTGAATTGTATCGATTAACTTTTGTGCTGCCGCATTTACATAAAATTCACGTGATTAAATTCCCTTGTCATACTTTCACCTTTACCCCCATTTACTTTAATTGTTTATGTCGTTGACTAGTGTTTGATCCTTGCTTTATTATTTTACATAGACCAGCAATATCAGCTTGACACAATTGAACTTTTATAAAAAAAAAAAAAAAAAAAAAAAAAAAAAAAAAAAGAAGCTGAAGTTGTTATTTTCATTTCTTGAACTAGTTGTTTATTGATCTCGTCATTCTCTGCATTAGGTCAGTGTTACATTGTATGCATTTGCGTAGTGATCATTTTGTCATACCAAATTTCAATAATGTGACCATGGACCAATCTCAATTTGATGCCCTTACTCGACAATTAGCTCAACTACAGGCTCAATTAGCAACCGTCCAAACCGAGGTGACTATTACTCGTGAGGAGAGTAGAGAACTAGCTGCTAGAGTGAACAATCAAGAACAAACCTCCCCCTCAACCGACGCTGATAACTCTGAAGCGTCTCATAACATAACCTATCGTCGTCGACATGATGGTCGACAGCGTATTCGTCACGGACAAAGGAATAGGGAACAGGAGCGCAATCATGAACGAAACCATGACCCTTATGGAACTCATTCACCTCCTCGCTATGAGGAACGCTACTTTCGAAACATCAAATTAGACGCTCCTACTTTCGATGGCTGTTTAGATCCTAGAGTTTTTACACAGTGGGTTAGAGACATGGATCGCTTCTTTTCATGGTATGGAGTCCCAGAGGATCGAAGAGTTCAATTTGCTAGTTTAAAATTAACTGGTACTGCCCAACTCTTTTGGGAAAGTGTTGAGGACCTTCTTGAAAGGCGTCATGCACCTCCTGTTGGAGGTTGGGAGGAAATGAAGCGCCGCCTTCAAGAGAAGTATTTACCCCCCCCCCCCCCCT